GCCAGGCAAAGAGTGCCACTCTCAAGACTAGTTCAGAGAATAAGCTGGGTCTCCAGGGGTCCTCAAAACAGCCGCTCGGAGGCCCGGACGGCCCTATTCTGATCTCGCAGCCTTAGCCTCCTGGAAAGCACGTGCCTATCTGAGACTGACTGGCCCAGTGAGATCTTTGCAGAGGAAAAGACACGTTTGTTCATTTATAAAATAGGTCTGTTGAGAACCCCCAAACCCAACGACTCTCTATCAGGAAAGTTCTTGCCAGTTCACTACAGAGAGGTAGTGACAAGAATTTATAATGCCACCTTGATTCCAAGCTCATTGCACCAGGCTCCAAGGTCCTGAATTGGGCCTCTTTCCAATGCTTATTTACCATAGAAAAGTTTCACTGAAACATTATCGAGCGTTCAGTTCTGTGCCCTTCGGGTTTTTTCCATCATTAATCCTCCCGGAGCAGGGTGGGGCTAAACTGAGAACACCAGAATCTAACTGGTTGCAGGTGTCCTTATTCAACCCAGCACATCCATAAGGTAACCCCGCATTTCGGGGGAGACACAAGGGTGCTCTGTGATACAGCTTCAGGCTGCTAGTGGTCACCATCACCAACTTGGAAAGAGCTCTATACACTGATACTCCCAGAGACCTTACCAACCTAATGGCCATGTGGCACCCCTGCTATCGTACAGCATGAAATACTTTTCTTTCCCTTGAGCTAGAAGCCCACCGTGGAAGCCAGCTGTAGATTCTTTGCTACCATGTCGCTGATTTACCTACTGTACTTTCTAACCTAGGGGAGCTATGAATCATCCTTAACTTTTCAGCTAACAAAAACACGTTCCTTTTGACACAATCTCTTCTTTATCCAGATTTATTTGTCCTGAACATTCTTAGGGCATTATTTCTTACTGAAGACAGTTCTCCCTCGATGTTTGTTTAATAATAATTTTTAACTCAAGCTCTTCCTGACAAGTACGCCTGACCTTTCTCAAGGCTTTATATTCCCAGGACTACCTGAGTCACATGTTGACATATTTCCAGCCTTCATCAATCACAGGCAGGTGGCATATTTTCCTGACTCTTTTCTCTCCCAGGGGTCACTGAATAGTGTTAAAATTCGGATTTCTTTCGGAGGTGAGCTCAGAGACAACCTCTTATCTTTTCTTGCCTCTCTTCATATTCATTAGTTTTAATTCCCAGGTAATGCACCAGATCATTTATTCACTCAAACACTAGTTGAGGAATTACCACGCGTCGGGCACTTTGCTGGGTGCTGGAGATAGAGAGCTGAAGAAAGGGTCTGCTCTTAGGAAGCTCACAATATGGTGAACGAGATAAGAAAGGTCAGGATCAGACAAAGCAGGAAGTGCTCTAAGGAAAGAGCCACAAGGCATTTAAAGGCGTGCAGAGGAATGCTTGACCCAACCTGGAAGATCCCAGAAAAACCCATCCAAGAGCCAAGAAGAAGTGATGCTTCATCTGAACTTAACTTTAAAGGACAAGTAGCAGTCATTTCGGGCGAGCACAAACAACAGGCGGATGGATGTGGATGCAGCAGAGGGACATAACTAAAGGAAAGGCTAGGGAGTCCTGGCCAGATCAGGAAGGGCTCTGTCCCTTGGGCTAAGGAATCTGAACTTTATCTTAAAGTAGAGAGGAGCCCCCAAAGTGCCAAGACAGCAGAATTGCAGTGTAGAATGGTATCACGAATGAAGGATAAAATCTCTGCCAAGTTCATAAAATGAGCATGATTCTGTGTCCCCATTTGCTTCATCTGACATTGCTCCTAGGCCCCAGTGACAGCACACAGAGTGTGGGGAGACGAGTCAGGGCTTCGCACCAATTCACAGCGCCAGTCTCTCTCCAGACTCACGGCAATAACCTTCTCCAAGCTCTCAGAGCTGTGCCTGTTCTGTACCATAGTCTGCCGAGGGGTACAGGAGAGTGATTGTCCTGGAAGCCTTCCTGGAACAGGATGTCTCTGCATAAGGTCATGAAATGAGCGATCCAGGCAGCACGCGTCAGTGAGAAGACAGTGTGTGCGCAGAGACAGAGACACAAGTCAGCAAGCCCCACGCGTGACGCGTCAAATACAGAGGGGTGGGGAAGCGGTGGGAAATGTGGTGAAAGAGATCAGAAGACCTGTTGGCTCTCTCTGTTCCATGAGAATGTCGCTGCACAGAATACTGACACATCCCCATGCTGGAGAAGCTAAAGTAGAAAGAAATAGAGTGAACTGTCTCAGAACAAACGAGATGGCAGCAATTAATAAAACAAATCACACGGGCTTGCTCGCTTGTTTCCAATCTCTGTTCTCCATGCCCAAGAGCAGCCTGCCCGTCATATCGAGTTAGACATTCTCCCTGCGAAACCATGCATTCACATAGCTGAAGGAAGCTTCGGATGGAAATGTCATTGTTTTAAAAGAAAAAAGCTCCAGTAAGGCCCTGACCGCCTCCCACCGTGACTCACAGCAGCAGCAGAGCTCACGTGCGCTAGGGTACTTCCGGCTCACCTAGGACTCGAAACTGCTCAGGGAAACAACCTGACTCCTGATGATCCCTCAACAATTCTTTGCACTTTCTTCTCTGGACACTGGCTTTTTAAATTTTCCAGGAGGAATTGTGGATAAAGCTAATTAATAAATAACAGAATTTTATGAGCGTATGGAAGTTTAGGTTTATCTGATTTCATGCACACCGGCCTCCCTGCTCCACAACCCATAATTTTTTCCCTCATATATATGTTCTTGATGGATTTTTCAAGAATTTAAAAGAAAAGTTTAAACTTTCACTCCAGCTGAGGTTCCTCAGTTTTCATTAATGTCACTGGCCAGGATGCATTGCAGGGACAAAAGCAGTTGCAAGATTGCCGGCTCAGTCACGCTGCCTGCAAGTGAGTCTCAGCCTAGCAAAGAATAAAAAGGTTTGTGTGCCGCTGCTGTCCCCAGACACACCACTATGCTAGTCTGTAACGCCCTCGGTTCCTCCCATTGGGTCACATTTCCTAATACAGCCATAAGGAGACAGGGCTGGATACTGCATGACGAACGCAGGTTCAGTGTGTTTAATGCGACAGGTGTATTTCTACAAACATCTACATAAATGAGGATTTTGTAAGCACCATTTAAAACTATCTGAAGGGTATTTTCTGTGGATCTTCTCATAAAGCAAAAGCTCTTTTGAAAAAAACAACATCATTCCCTACTGCATGTGTTCTAATTGCAGGTTTTCGTGAATTAATTTCAAAACATGATGGAGGTCCCATTCTTTTTCATTTGTTGAGCAAGCTCCACACGAACACAAGAACCCAGCACGCTTTGCTGTTAAGCTTTTCTAGACAAAGACATCTGAAAATGTGGGCCACTGAGACCAAAAACTTCCCCATGAGTCAGGAGCCAACCCCAGAAAAGAGCTCATGCTTCCAACTAAGCAGCCCACAGCCTTTCATATCCAGTTCTGCTTTTTCAGTGGTTTCTACGAGTCTAATTTCTGGTTAGGAACCGAGAGACTGGCTTGGTTTCTACTTCCATAGGATAGTAGTGACACTACCCAAGATAGCCCATGCTAACAGCAGTAGAAAAAGAAGCTGGTCCCAAGATCTCAAACACAGGAACCCTTTTGCCTCAGCCCCCATTCTACCCTCTACCCCATGAGGTTCCCGAGAGATACAACATAAGAGCAGAGAACGAGGCCAGGTGAAGAATTATTGTTAGTGGGACTCCTGCCTCCAACCCTGACCTGGTGGATCCTGGTGAGCTGACTTGGGCTATAAGCATTCTTGCCAGAGGAATGGTTCCCACATCTGGTCACACATCATGATCACCTGGGGAGGCATGGTTTTGTTTTGAATTGTAGTTCCAAGTCTCGCCTCAGATTTATCGCCAGGGGTGGGATCCTGGATTCTGTATTTTACTTTTTACTTTTATTATTTTTTAAAAAGAGTTTATTTATTATCATTTTTTCTGTGAGGAAGATTTGCCCTGAGCTAACGGCCACTGCCAACCCGCCTCTTTTTTTGCTTGAGGAAGATTAGCCCTGTGTTAACATCCGTTGCCAGTCTTCCTCTACTTTGTATGTGGGTGATGAGTGGAGCTGGTCCGCATCTGGGATCTGAACCCACAAACCCCAGGCCACTGAAGAGGAGCACGCGGAACTTTAACCACTCAGCCACAACCCCTGCATCCTGTATTTTAAAAGCATGGCAGATTGGCATGTCTCCCCTGCTCCCACCCCCACTGGCATTAGAAAATCACTGATCTGAGGTGGAAGGCATAAGGCCAGTGGTGCTAGCTTGTACAAACTCGTGAGAGCCGATCGCTAAATTTTCAGGAATTTTGCAAGCCTTCATTAAAAATTAAATTATATAAGCTTACTATTAAATAAATTATATCAAAAACAAAAATAATACCCAAAGCTCAATACCTCCTAATCATTTACCACATTCTACGATTACCTATGTTCTTGAGGTTTTTACATCTATTGTGCGCGTAACGATGGGAAAGCGATATGACAGTACACAGCTGCCCATCTGTCCCCAACTCTGCCTTCAGCGACACCACATTGGTAGCCTGAGATCAGAACATTTATATCATGAAAAATCAGCAAGTGCTCAAAATCAGGGCTTGATTTATTGTTGACTGTACCTAGACTTAAGAAAGTGGTGGAAAAATGTAAACAATACAGATTAACTTAAAAACATGTCATGTCTGTAGCCGGGACCACAAATTTGAGAAATATTCTTCCAGTATTCAAAAATTGTCTGATTTCAGTAAAGTTGTTATTCTCTTCACTGACGAACAAGTGAACTTTCCAACATGTCTCTGGGGTTCTAACTTTCATCTTACTCTTTCATGTAAAGGAAAGCAACCAACATTCATGCTGGGAACCTACTTAGTCATCAACTGCAATCGCAGTTTGGCTACAGATGCAAGAGTTCCATAAAGTCAATGACAGCATTCTGTGAGAATCAATGAACTACATAAAATTTACGATGAAAAGTACCCCGTGTCTCGTTATCATTTGTGAATTTTATTGGATTATATTACTGTATTTATACACATTGTATTTAATAGTATTGCATATTCTATTAAATTTGTGAATTTTGTATCTTATTATCAGTAAAATTTCTAATAGGCATACCTTCAATGATACATGCATATACATTTCTTATCCAGAGAGCAGGGTGTTAAACATTTCCCAGCACACCACTGCCTGAGCCAAGAGGAAAAACAGGCTGAACAAGCTCTTCAGCTTCTATCCTGTAGCTCCACGCCCTTGTCTCAGCGCTTCAGTGTACCATTCTCGTCAAGAAAAACACAAAGAATTGTACAAGAACACAAACCAAAAGGAAAAGAGATTTTCCTGAGAACGCAAAGCAGATAATTTAACCTGCCGAATCCAGCCCTTCCTAAGAAGGGTCCAGGGAGGGACAGCTTCCAGCTGCTCTGACCACACCTGCCACGTGGGACAAATGAGAGCAGCTTAACAGACGGCAGTCTTGGCACCACAGCCTAACAAATGTCCTCCCCCTTGACTCCACATCGGATGGCTCCCAGGAACAGAGGAGATGGAGTAGAGGTGTCAAAGCAGGGGACAAGAGGAGTGTCAACCTTCTTGTCGCATCTGGAACATGTTTGCGGCACAAAACTAAAGGACCAGAGAGCATTTCGCCTTTCACCAAGCAGAATGCACAGGAACATCGTGGTTTCTTGCACATTCATTTTTAAATTGTCATTGCTTCTGACTTAAACGTCTTTCTAAAGGTGAAATAAAACAGTTACCAAACCAAGAAGTACAGAAATTTAAAAAACTCTGTTACTTAGTAGTCCTGTTTTTTGGTAACTTTAGGCCGATGCCGAAAGCCAACCCTCAGCACTCCAGGGCTTCCTTCAGCGCTGGAAAGAAAAACTGCATGAAACTTTAAAGTTTTCTTTAAAAAAAAATAGCCAGACCTGTCTCTAATCTGATCAGATTTCTGACTGTCCATGGTACTCCTGTCCTTGTCCACACATCTATTCAACACCATGAGTACTGTTCCATTCGTGAGTCCCATTCCCCCCCACCTTCTCCTTAATGACTTTTCTCTTAAAAAACTAAAGAAGCAAAAGCCCACCTAATATCTGTTATTATTATCTGAGTTTCATGAGGGAGAAACCTTTGCTAAAGAGTCATCCTAGAAGTAAAGGGAGTGTAATTTTTCATTTATAAAAAAACAACTGGTGCAGGTAAGAAAGGAGGAGTCTTCGGGTGAATGGCTTTTGGATGTCTTATTTATGGTGTTACAAACATAACCGCACAAAAAGACTTCTCTGAGCTCCAAATAAGACATGAGTCAATGCCGCCATCGTAAAACTGTCATACATCCACACCCCTAAAAGGGTAACTGGCCTCAGAACATATTCCAGAAAACATGGTTCATCTTGACCAATGGTATCACTTTTGCTTAATCAGTGTGTTCTTGAAACCTAGGCACAGAAATGCTCCACTGACATTCCCCAGACCCTTGAGAAAAGACGGTTAGGTGAAGGCGAGACTGACACATTTAGGGGTTTGGGAGTGGGGAAGAGTGGGAGAAACCAACCAGTCTAGCACCCCACAAGGCATGAGCCTGTGTTCTATTTTACGAACACCGTGTTGCTGACACACTGTAAGGATGAGGGTGCAGAAGCGACACACTTCACACACGAGCATGTCCGAGAAACCTGCAGAACATCTGGGAAACTCAGGAGATACTTCTGCTTATCAAGCTCTGGCATCTGCAGAGAAAGAACATGACTTAAAACCACAAAGACATTTATTAAGGTTTAACCAATTTTTGTGACACATTTCTTCTGCATAACTTATCTCAGAGCAAAACTAAAGAACTCTGGTTGTCACCCATTAACTTGCCCTCTAAATAAGGACATGGAGGTGCTTTCCTGTTTGACCCTTAATTATTAACCCATACCAGCTATCACCCCTTCATGAATCAGAATGTTAAATACATCACTCATTAATATTAAAATCTAGAGGACACTAAATGTCAGATTACTGTGGCTTTAGCCACAGACTTATTTTGACGATTGTTTCTGTAGGAGACGCTACTGAGAAGTTCAACAAGCTGTTTTCACTATATCGACAGGCACTTCCCCAATCATAAATCTTTTTCTTTTTAGGTGAGGAAGATTGTTGCTGAGCTAACATCTGTTCCCATCTTCCTCTATTTTGTATGTGGGTTGCCACCACAGCATGGCTTGATGAGCGGTGATAGGTCCACATCCAGGATCTGAACCTGCGAACCCTGGGCCACACAAACTTAACTGCCACGCCACCAGGCTGGACTCCCATAAATCTTTTTAATGTGCTGAATGCCAGAATTTCCTAACGAATTGATGTTTTTAACTGAGGAGTCTTTTGTGAGGCTCTGGGGCCAGATTGCCTGCCCTGAATCCTGTCATTGCCACTTGCTAGCTGTGTAATCTAGGACAAGTTACTCAACACGTCTTCTGTGAAATACTGATAATACCGACACCTATCTTATGGGGCTGTGGGGAAGCCTCAATGAGTTATAATACATCTAAAGCATCAGAACAGTGCCTGGAACACAGTAAGGTAACTATGAGAATTGTCTTACTGTATTTTCATGGTCACCATGTATAGGCTGAAGAAGAGAAAATGAGAACAAAGTAATAAGTAGAAAAATTATACTGAAACATCTACCTAGAAAATAAAAGTCCTGTCGAGAACTTCCCAAGTAAAATGATACTTCTTAAAATTAATTTATGGTTTTTTTTTTTTTACCAGTTTTTTCACTTGTAAGACTTTTTAGGAAGCTACTCCCCCCAATATTTTCCAAAGTACTAATGATCCATTTAGGAAACAAGGAAACAAACATACAAAAACCCTACATCCCACTGCATATTGAGTTTCTATTTTGTCCAATTCATGGGCTCATATACTCTCAGATTAAAGGAATAAATGGCTTTAAGTGTTCTCTGAAAAATGGCTAAAACTGAAAAACTTAGGAGAGTTAGTCTACTCTCAGGACAGATACACCTACAAAACTTAGCATCCACACTCATTCGTCTCAAGCTGTACCAAAGCATTAAAAGGGTAAAGAGAGGGCCAGCCCTGGTGGCCTAGTGGTTAAGTTCCGTGCATTCTGCTTTGGCGGCCTGGGTTCAGTTCCCAGGTGCAGACCCACACTACTCTGTTATCAGCCATGCTGTGCTGGTGGCCTACATACTAAAAATAGAGGAAGATGGGCACAGATGTTAGCTCAGGGCAAATCGTCCTCAGGAAAAAAAAAAAGGGTAAAGAGAATATCTGGAAACTCATCATGATATTCAGATTAGTATTTAAGTAACAGGGTGAGATGAAATGCATTCTTATTAATTTATCAATAAGTAATAGATGATTTAATAGCATAAGGTATTCCGTAAGTAATGAAGTCGAGTTGACTGCGGGGCTGTGTAACATGTGAAGAGTAGAGTTGGCCTCTCCATCTCAAAGGTTCATTTTGAACTAATAAATTTAAAGAACATACTAACTTGATATTTAGCATTAAAGATACTACTGAATAGTAAAAATAACACTCCTATAGTTTTGCTCAACTAGATGGAAAGCCCAAAGATGATTATGATTTTCTGAGAATAAATTTGATCAGGTGGTCCCTTGAGAAACAAAGCAATGGGCGTGGAGATACGTAAAGAAGTGGCTGTCCTGGCAGGTGATGTATTCATTAACTAAGTACACTTGCACACACAAGATGGTTTCAAAAAGTACGAGCTGGAGAAGAGGTAGGAGAGTAGAAGTGTTAAAATATATTTCAATGAAACAATGTATGAGCATTTATTCGTAAATGAACGTAACTTTCTTTAGGCATGATGACTTGGCAAAGCACATTTTCTTTGCGAGACGTAGGGTGTCAAGCTTCCTCTACCCATGCAACTCCTCACTGAGTAGCTTTGCTTCCAACTCAGTTTCTAAGCTTTGCTGGAATTCAGGTTATTGCAGTGACACGTACAGGTACCGAGTCAAAGTCAGTGGAAAGGAATGGCTGAGCTTGTATGTTAGGTTGTATAATACGTACTAAATATTTGGCTATTGAAATTAGAGAAACCAGAAACAAAAGGGCACTGGTCACAACCAGCAGTATAAAAATCTGGCTGAAATGTTCCCTCCTCTATGAAGCCTTTCTCTCAACTCAGGCCCTATGCAAACACTTTGATTACAGAATTTACTGAACTGCATTTCACTTACCTAAACAATGCGGCCTGATGATCACCTTCCTGAGGCCCTTCCAGTACAGACCCCACGTGCTCCAGGCCTCCCACCTGCAGTGGCACCCTGACCCCCCTGTGCACCAGCCCACAGCTGAGGCTCACCTGTGCCCTGGAGGGGTGCTTCCTATTTCCCTGGGGACTGCAGACAGATCTGGCCTGGGCAACCCACTGAACCTCTGTGCCACACAGTGGGCCGCAGCCTCTGGACACTAGCTCGTCAGCCCGTGGTACAGAAGAGTGGACCCTGACTGATACAGTCACCTGTGTAGAAGACTGGAGCCCTCAAAAGAAAAACTGAGGTAACCACTTCTGGTTCTCAACTTGGAACAGATTCAAAGTTATTTATTAAAAGTGGAATGTTCTATATCATGCTTTTATCCCCAGAGGCACTAAGCCTCTGCTTTTTTTAGCTTCTATTTTTCTAAGCCTTCCATTCAGAAGTACAAGTTATGACACTTAAGGTCAGCATTTCAGGTTAACAGCAGTTGTCCATAATGAAAACAAAACATCTCTCAGCGCTTTCTGCATACGATTACCAGAAAGGCACAAAGAGAACCGCTACGGAGAGAACATGAATTAAGAGCAGTCGTGTAGTAAACACGTTGCTGTTATTACTGCAGAGAAGACCATCAGCTGCTGTGAGTGGAACACACTGCTCACACAGGACCGTCTCAGCGGCAGCAACACGACACAGGAAGCCGCACACTGCACTGAGCTGACTGAGTGTTCCGGTGCTGCACAGACTCAGGCTCAAATCCTAGCTGTGGCACTTCCGCGCTGTGTGCCTTTGGCCAAATTCCACAACATCTCAGTGCATCTCCTTATCCTACCTTGCAATGAGACTGTAAAGTGGGATATGCTCACCTCCAGATTGGAGAGGATAAACCAAAGAACTAACCACTGCTGTGGTTAACATCCCCCCCCACCCCCGTTTCCTCATCTTATAGATAAGAATATGGAGGCACAGAAATAAGGTTTTTAGCAAGGATGCAGTTAACATATCTGAAACTAGGCTTAAAATACTCTCAATTTAAGGATGCAAACTGGTGAAACAGTGTGTAGTAAAGACCGGCAGCTCGCTGAGAAATGCCGGCTTGGAGCTCCTCACACATGCCCCTCCGTATCACGCAGACTGCCGCGGAGCCACTGACCGAGCGCAGGACACGGCAAGTCAACACCCTACGCTCGCACAATACCTCATGCTTTATAAAGTGCCATGACCGACAGCTATGACTAGTATCATTTCATTTGAACACAACAGTCTTATCTTTAAAGAATGGCACCTGAGCTAACATCTGTTGCCAACCTTTTATTTTGTTCTTCTTCTTCTTCTCCCCAAAGCCCCCAGTACACAGTTGTATATTCTAGTTGTAGGTCCCTTTGGTTGTGCTACGTGGGATGCTGCCTCAGAGTGGCCTGATGAGTGGTGCCATGTCCGCGCCCAGGATCAGAACCAGTGAAACCCTGGGCCGCCAAAGCAGAGAACATGAACCTAACCACTCGGCCATGGGCCAGCCCCAGTCTTATCTTTAAAAGACACTTTTTAGAGATAGGAGTAATAAAGAATTTTGTAAACTAAGAAATTTCAGAAAAATAAATTATTTTAGGTGTGAATAAAGGCAAATCATGAGCAATGATTTTGCTAATAATTTCTTAACTTTTAATAAAAGTCCAAGTTTCCCTTAATTGTATACACCATATACAGAGGAGGTTAAATTAGGTTTAAAAAATAGCCACTTTGCTAGGAAGAAAAAGGTTGCCTGAATTTGTTGCAAAAATATAGGTAAGTGATAAAATGTGAAAGTAAACTTTATATGATCAAAGAAACAAAAGATTGCCACTAACAGATGGACTTTTCAAAATCCATCTTCATACCTTATAATTTCAATTACACGGTGCCTCCAACATGGCAAGTCTACAAAGCACACCTTCCATCCAATCCTGTCTGCCCCCATCTTTCCAAAGCAATGCAGACGCGAGAAAATGAACTCTACAAATCCACAAAACTACTTACAATGATCTTATTGGAAGACTAGTGCTTTCTCCATTTATAAGAAATTTCAATGTCTTCTGATATATACCACTTGCGGTACATACCTTATCAGACCCTTAACCTTCTGGACACTGGCTATGTGGGCCACGGGGCACTGTGCTTTGACCAGGAAACTGCATGGTGGCTGCGGCCTCATCTGACAGCACACACTTACCCCACAGATTCACGGTACACCCAGCACACTAACACGTCCAATATGCTCATTTTCTCCCTTCCTTGAAGCCAACTGACCCGGTGCAGAATCTAGTTAACGCACGCTTTCATGACCGCAGAAGCTTCCGGCTGCTTCCTGCTGACTGCCCTCCTCTCTGTGCTTCGACCTGCCTTACACGTTGTGGCCGGACTGATCTTGAAGCCATTTTGCGCTGTTACTTCCTTCTTCAAAAATCAACAGAAGTTTTCCATTGCTAGTGTCATGTTTAAATTAATGGTTAATTCT